AGCATACAATCCAAATCTGGCGTACGCCAGTTTCCTAAATATTTTTAAGCACTGCTATGGCAGAGCTTTCCCGCTGAGACAAATTAATAAACGAAGAAAAGGCTTTTGCAAACATTGGACGACTCCCGATTTATACACAGGTGTTAAAGAAAAAAAATCAAATGTACCACGACTTTCTTTTGTCTAGAGATCGAGATCTTCTTGCTACATTCAAAAAATATAAAAACATACTAAGCTCTAACTTTAAAAAAAGCAAAACAAAACTACTACAAACGCCTGTTTTGTCGCGTTAAAAGTGACCCCCAAAAACATATGGGAAGCCGTAAACACCATAACAAATCAGCACTGTCATTTCCAAGATATACGAAAATGTGAATATTGACGGGAATCCCGTGAATGGTACAGGAGTATATAATTTGATGAATGAGTATTTTGTCAATGTTGGTGGACCCTTAGAATCCGAAAATGAGCGCTTACATGGCTTCACGATGGCCGCGCATTCTTTAGCCAATTCGATAATGTTGTCGCCAAGTGCCCCACAAAAAGTAGGTCTTATAAACAAGATAAAAAATAATGTAGCCCAAGGCGTAGGTGGACTAAACCCGATCCCATTAAATATGTTTCTTGAGATTTAAGCAACATCGTATCACATATCATAAATTCTAACATAGAATAAGGCATATTTCAAGACCCACTTAAAATTGCAGAACGTGCCACGGTCTTTAAATTAAGGAAGCCATATCTGCACAATTATTTACCTATATCAGTTTGGGAAATATTTTCGAAAATATTTAAGGGAGTTATGCATAGCCGATTATATCAGTTTCTTATAAAGAATGATGTTATAAATAAATCTCAGTGTGACTTCCAAAAGGGAAAATCATCAGAGCAGGCTCTTGTTGAGACGAAAGACAAAATAATATACAATATGAAAAATAAATTATACACGCAGGGAGTATTTTAGACTTCAAAAACGCATTAGACTCAATTCAACACAACATTTTGCTAAATAAACTTCAGCTCTACGGAATACGAGGAGTAGCTTTGGTTTTAATAAAACATTACCTAAAGAAGCGCCTGAAAATTTTCAAAGTTAACAACACTGTCTCAACAACTTTGGAACTAAAATATGGTGTCCCCCATGGTTCCATCCCAGGCCCCTTGTTGTTTATTTTTTATATCAATGACAGAACTGCTATTCCTAGATCCCCAGGGCTGATTATATACGCAGATTATACCAACGTATTTTTCGCCCCTGCCTTCAAAGCATCCCCCAGGTAGAACACCGCGTCAGCCTATATCGGGACTGCGCCGGCCGGTCCTGGTAACAGGACGGCGGCACCCGGCCATTAGCGCCGGTGAGCTACCGGCCCCGGCCGGCGTCGGAGTTTCGTCTTGCTCACTGGCCAGTTCAGCCGTAGAGGTTACAGAGACTGGCCAGCATCGGGTTTTAGCTGTCTTTGCTGGCCAGTCATTCCTTGGAGGTTCCAGTAACTGGCCGGCATCGGTGTTTTGATGTCTTTGACGGCCATTATTTACATAGAAGTTCAGTAACTGGCCGGTATCGATATTTTGCTGTCTTTGATGGCCAGTATTTACATGGAAGTTCAGTAACTGACCGGCATCGGCGCTTTGCTCTTCACGCTGGCGAGCCCCGCCATGGAAGTTCCGTTTACTGACCGATATCGTTTTAATTTTTGCTGTTTTCACTAGGCAGTCAAGTCATTGAGATCCTGACGAACTGCGGCAATTCATGAACAGCGAGTGGAAATGTGTGCGTTGATCAATCCTTCGTAATTGACTGCCAACGTCGGCGTATTCGATCCCAGCATGGCAAGGCTGACGTGTTTTATCGCGAAAACGCGAGAAAAAACAATGCGGTGAAGAAAATTTACAGTTCACGGTTTGAGAACATGATCACCTACGCCATGAAAAAATAAATTTTACAACGCCGCACGTTACTTTTTCAGGAGGCTAGCTTAATTTAATGTACTATACTTAAGCTCCGGCGGTACGCACGCGTTTGGCTCTGATAAAAGATAAAAGCAGTATAACAAAACCCCCGAATGAAAAAAAAGAGGAAAACACGCGGCAGGATTGAGCACGCGTTTTGAGTTGCAAAAGCAATAATAAACATTGCTATTCAGAAACAAGAAAAGTAAGAGATGTGTTTTTTGCCTATATGAAGCTATGAGAGGTACGTAACTCTCCTGGGATCATGCTATTGTTGATATTAATTGAGTGTGAAAATAGGCCATTTCAGGCAGGACTCGACACTTTTTGTGGTAGTTAACATCATCTAGCAGAAATATTTTAAATCTTCACATAGCCAGACGATATGTGATACCCGATAACTTATGTTATACGACATGGCGCACCAAAGGAACGCGAATATAAAAACTTCTTTTCACGCGAAAAAGCGAGAAACACCAATGCGTTGTGGATGTTTACAATGCCGGGTTTGTGAAGGTGACCCCTTGACGCAACGAAAAATAAATGTTACAACGCCGAACGATGCTGTTCGTGAAAGCTACCTTAATTCTCCCCAGTGTACTTGAATTTCAGGAATAAAAACTTGTTTAGGCCTAATAAAATAGTAAAACTGCGGAACGGAACCTCGATCCTTAATTCCAAGCGGAACACTGGGGATAGCACTGATCTGCCAGAACAAAATTAAATACTACTTTTCAGAAGTCAGAAAATTAAGATATGAGCTTAATACGTATCGCGCTATGAGCTCAGGAAAATAACTGCCTCGAAATGGTGGTATATGTGTTTCAATAGTGGGTGAAGATGACCCCTTGCTGACAAACTTCGGCTGCATCACTGGGGCAGTTTTACCACTTACACATTTTTCTATTTTGCTCTCAATATGCCAATTATTATTACCTTCCTTTCTTCGTTGAAAGAACTTGCGTTGTTTGCCTTCTGCACTGACACACCTATTAGCACGGAGGGAGCGAATTATCCCGGCAAAAGAAGAGGGCCACGGCATGTGCATTGCATCTCTTCAAACTTGGGCTAGCACTTTTTATTTTCATTTTTTGCGCGACTGTTACCTTACAGTAGGATGCCGACGACTGCGAAAGAATTAAAATATTTAAGATAATAAGAATTAATAGAAGAAGCTAGAAAAGAAAACTTGTCTCTACTGCGATTTGAACCAACGACCATGTCCTAGAATTGCCCCGGTTCTGTTTGCTTTCCAATCTTTCCAGCTGTATAAAAGCTTAGCATTACCTCTTCATTTCGCAGATCGCTTGCACGTTGGTACTTCTCTACTGAACATGCTGTGTGTAATAAACTTCTGGGAGATTTGAAGGGAATATGTTTTGTCTGTTTTGCTGCCTTTTTAAAAACTTATGTGCGAGTACTTTTTTACGCGTTTCCTCCGTGTATTAAATAGGTTAATTCAGTTCGGGACGTTTTAAATAAGTTTGAGATATCCAACCTTCCAGACGACACCCATTCAGGGTTAACGAATAATTCGCATGGGTGCCAGATGCTAGCTCGAGAGCGATTCATTTGAGCAAGCATTTGTCAGCGGAGGGATGCCGCGGCTAGGCTTCTGCTAGAGCAAGTGTGCCAGCACTGCCTTTCGAGGCTTGATCGCGTCTGTTCATTTGCGTGTGCACCATATATTCAGTTACATAGTTCAGAAAGAGCTAATGGTGGCCAGTCATTCTTGACTTCACGACGACTTGGTTGAGGTTGCGGAGGAACTTTTAGTCCATGATGAGCCAAGCTCTTCAGAACATCGCGATGCTACAAAAACAAGTGAACTTATGTAGAGCCTTGGCTCATTCACAACGTGCTGCTTGGGAGTGTGCTTTACTAAGAACAATCTGGGTTTGAAAGCGTTGATCTTTGACCTTTGGATTTTTTCGTAGATGCTATCACCGCGAAGCTAAATATTGCAGAATCGGCAGCTTAAAAAAATATTGGTGAAGTGGCTGCCAGAGTCTTGCGACGGGAGAGGCGGCAGGAAGAGCCGTTCGGAAGCCGTAATGGCTCCCCAGGCCCAGGACTCGCCCAGGACCCTCCCCAGGACCACACTGTAAAAAAATTTTGCCCCATTTTACGGCAAAAGTTGCCGGCTCAATATTGCTGACATGTTTTCCGTAATCTAGAATATGGACCGTCTGTGAAAACAAGACATATAATTTCGTAAAATGACGGAACGTTTGTAGCTCACTTTACGAACAATTATCCATTTTTCATTTTACGGGAAAAGTTGCCGGTTCAATATTGCCGACATGGTTTCCGTAATCTAGAAACTGAAACGTCCGTAAAAACAAGGCATATATTTTGTAAAATGACGGAATGTCTGTAGCCCACATTACGGACAGCTATCCGTAGGAAAGATAAAAGCTGTTCGCACTAAGTAACGAAGCACTATACCTTTCCGCCTTATATAAGGCCAAAGCTACGAGCCATTCGTACCACCTGCACCTCCGATACATCTGCAGACTCCCCTCGCAGAGCTCTAGCCCTGCCAGGGGTTTCACCTAATGTATCAAAGGTGCAGGATTGGTGCAGACGGCTCGTAGCTATGGCCTTCAAAAAGACAGAAAGGTATAGTGCTTCATTACTTAGTGTGAACAGCTTCCATGTCCAAGTAAGGCGAAGTCACACGAAGCTTTGGGGTACAGATTGGTATGGATAGTTCATAGCTCCGTCATTCAATATATGCACTTGTATAATTTTTCATCCTTAGACAAAACACGCAAGAGTTCATGTTTTGCGAAAGAAAAAGAGCACACAACCTGTACTACTCCTTGCCAGCATTATGTTGTGTGAGATCAGCTGTTCCTATAGGCAACAGCTGAACAAACAAAGCAATTAAGAAGTTTCGCCACGATACCTTTATTGGAAGAGGGCATGCCTTGCTTTAAGTTTGGAGAAACTTTACATTATAGTTGTCCTTGCGCTGGCCATCTAGATGCCCCTCCTTGCTTGTGCTTATAGTTGTCCTTCAATCGAAGACATCTTCAGTATTTTCATAGTGCATGTAAGGGCAGCTTGAAATAAAGAACAGTAGAGGATTCGATATCAATAGATAATCACAACAAATTGTATATGACATACATGGTTAAAGTCTGCAAGCAATGTGCTTATCAACTATCCCAGCTATCCACCTTTCTTTATGACATATAAAACAAACCTTTCATAAATTGAACCAATATAAAATATGCATTGACTTCAATACCTAATACAAGTGTTTGAGAAATAAAACAAGCAAATTAAAATTGCACAACTATTCAGTGATATTAAGCGCATTGAATTCAGCCGGATATCCCTTAGTTTACACAGTGGGCTTGCAATAATTCAAACTCGGATATTTAATACTTTTGGTCAAACAAATTTCAAAAACTTGGGCTGTCCCGCTACGTTTTCAATGTATTCATAAGCCGCTTAACTCGAACGGCGCTTTCGTGCAATTCACACTTTTTGTTCTCGCGGCACCGTTGAGAGCACTTCTTTCTGAGCACTGTGGAGAAGGTGTTGCTTTTCCGCAGTGCACCGGTGCTGGATACGAAGTACACTCAACGAGGCTAAAGCAGAGTAGAGCTGTATATAGAATGTTTTACTGAAAGATAGCGAGAGGAAAGGGGAAAGGGCTACTGGCGTTTTCCCCCTTGCTGCAGCGTTTGAAAGAGTGAAAATTCCAGATGAGAGGCTTCGCCGGTGTTGGGTGTAGGCATTGCTCGCACTTTGTTTGCGCTTTCTTCTCTGTTTTAAATTCCCAAACTTAATTAGAGCCACGGGCTTTGATAGCGACAGTCCCCCGGTCATTGGGACATCATTGCTCGGTTATAGGCTGCACGAAGAACGACAGAAAGCGTCGAGTACTGCCGAGGACCTATGTAGCTTGCATGGAATCCGACAAGACGAGTGCGGCTGCAATGTCTTTAAGCCCCATCTCTTTCCACATGACCCCGAAAAGACCTTTCCCCAACGCCATCCTCTCGACTGTGCTCGGAACATTTTGTGATTGAAGCGTGCACCGCACTTAATGCTGTACCGTCAATGAACATGGAGTACGCTCGCAAGGTGCGTGCAAGTGTTCTCCTGATAATTGCTGTTTCAGCTTGTAAAATGTTGTAACTGAGTTTATCTTAATATTGATATTTTGAAGTGTTTACAATGATCTGACTTTATTATCTAGAGCACTTAGTTGAAGGCTGATTACCGCTGTTGGGTGTGACTGCAAACTGTCGAAAAGTTAGTCCTATTGCTTTTGCCTGAATCGCGATCTCCTGCGCGATACCAGAGAGCCGTGAACCTCTGTTGACCGTCACAGCGCGACTAGATTATTTTTATTTCCAAAATTAGTACCTATTGTAGCTGGAAAGAAACCTTCAATTTATGTTGCTGAAAGTTGAAACATGCTCATGCATCGATGTTTATAAATGTAGAAACATGCTCCTGCATAGGTGTTAATAAACGTTTTATTTGAGGATCCCATGCCGACAAGTCTGTCTTTTGTCGAGAACTGAAAACAGCAAAGTCGAGATGCGCCTATTGCCGGAGCGAGTCGATCAATGATTCAAGGATTCGAAATTGATGCATGAGCATGTTTAAACTTTCAGCAACAGAAATTGAAAGAGTTTCTTTCCGGCTACATTATGTACTAATTTTTAAAAGAGGAAGAATCCAGTCGCATTGTGATGGTCTACATAGGTTCACGGGCTCTCTGGTATTGAGCAGGAGATAGCAATTCTGGAAAACTGATAGAACTAACTTTTCGACAATTTCCAGTCACACCCGGCAGCGGAAATGAGCCTTCAACTAAGTGTTGTGGTCGATAAAACTGAGTCATTGTAAACACTTCAAAATATCAATATTAGAATAAATTCAGTTACAAAAAGTTACAAGCTGAAACAGTAATTATAAGGAGAAAACTTGCACGCACCTTGCGAGCGTACCCCATTTCATTGATTGGACAGCGTTAATTTCGTTGCGCACTTCATTCACAAAATGTTCTGAGCACAGTCAAAATGATGGCATTAGGGAAAAGTATTTTCGGTTTACGGACGCAACCCACTGCTGCCGGAAATCGGGGTCACGTGGAAACAGCCGCACTCGCCTTGCCGGATTCCGTACAAGTACATAGGTCCCCAGAGAGTATTCAACGCTTTCTGTCGTTATTCGTGCACCCTATAACCGAGCAATGGTGTCCCGATGACAAGGGGATCGTCGCCATCGAAGCCCGTGGCTCTAATTAGGTTTGGGAGTTTAAAACAGAGAAGAAATGCAGGCACCCAACACCGGCAAAGCCTCTCATCTGGGACTAACTCTTTCTAACGCTCGAGCAAGGGGAAAAGTGCCGGTTTTTGTATTGAATTCAAGAACTTTTTTAGTGTTTCTTTAAACATGGTGCCTCTGAAGTACTTCATGAACCTGAAATACTATACCCGTTTTCCCCTCAAGAACCGTAGTAAAACAAGATTTCCCACACTAGTGTTCAATTAAAACAATGAAAGCAAAGTTGTTTCGTTAAGAGGTGCTCACCTGATAGGCATCTGTGGAATCAGGCATTGACTCATTGCTCCCAGAACTGAAGAGCTGGCTCTGTAAAAAGAAAGTATTGTTCACCTTCCTGTGCTTATTTTGTGCAATTGGAAGAGACAAGAGATATTGTTAAAAATTCGCAATCCTTATGGGCCCGTTTGCTCGAAGCGCTAACCGCGGCTAAAGTTAGCCGCAGCACCTAGGAGAGGGATTTTGAAATCAAGTGACGGGCTTGGTAGGGATGCGGGGAAACATGGCGGAGCCCCGGTGACTGAGCGCCGTTCGCTTTGGAACTAATATGTCGTTGTAGCTGCAATATCGGGCGCATAGTCAGCAACGAATGCTGCAGTAAGCTTTCGCTTTGCCTTACCTCACTTATATTGCAAAGCAAGAGCAATGACCTCACCGCATTTGTTAGATAATCTTTCGATTCTGGCAATTCCTAAGCCTAATGAACGCGATAATTGTCGGCATGGCAACGTCTTTGGAAAGCGGATTGCCTTGACTCAATCGGCCGGGTATTGATAGCACACAAAAACAGACAGCGTCCCAATAGACCTTTTTCTAAATTACCCAAGCATCGAGGAGAACGCTGGAAGTGTAATTCTACGGTCTGCACGCGCTGGCCTCCCTCTTATAAAAGATTCGAAGTATATAATCATAATAAGGCTTTGACAAACGCACGTGCAAGGCAAAATTTGTTTTAGACTTTTTGCTTTTGAACAATTACTACTGCAGACGCCAGCACGTGCAACGTGTGTAACTACACTCGTAGCGTGCACCTCGGTGCTTGGGAAATTTAGAGAATGGTTTATGGGACGCTGTCAGCTTTTGTGCGCTATCAATACCCGGCCGATTGAGTCAAGGCAATCCACTTTCCAAAGACGTTGCCATGCCGACAGCTACCGCGTTCATTTAGGCTTAGGAATGGCCAGAATCAAAAGACTATCTAAACAATGCGGCGAGGTCATTGCTCGTGCTTTGCGATTTAAGTGAGGTAAGGCAAAGCGGAAGCATACGGCACCATTCGTTGCTGACTAAAGCGCCCGATATTGCAGCTACAACGACATATTAGTTCCAAAGCGAGCGGCGCTCCGTCATTGGGGCACCGCCATGTTTCCCCGCATCCCTACCGAGCCCGTCACGTGATTTCAAAATCCCTCTCCTAGGTGCTCTGGCTAACTCTAGCCGCGGTTAGCGCTTTCGAGCAAACGGGCCCAGATGTGCAAACTTTACTGTTCAAGGCCGCTAGGAGCAGTTTATGACACTAGTGTTCAATCAAAACAATTAGAGAAAAGTTGTTTCTTTAAAGTAAAAACATTATTTAAAATTGGAAGTGACTTTTACCTTCAAAGTGCTATAGCTAGGGGCAGTGGCGCACACAGGGGGGGGGCCGAAGGGGCCGCGGCAACCCCCCCCCCAAAAAAAAAATTTCCGAGGGGGGGGGGGGGGGGGGGGGAGTCGGCGAGATTACTGACTGTCGTGTTTATCAATATCAAACTTCGTGGAGAAGTTGTAAAAAAAAAAAGGAAGGGAATGCAATATGGCCATTTATGACATAGTTAAAATAATAAAAAAATGTGTAGTTTTAACGTCTTTTATCTAATATGACTGGAAAATAATCAATTAACGAATATCTTTCTTTACTTCTACTTTTATTGTTTCACGAGTGCCCCATGACCCTCTCGCGGAGTCGCCAGGGCTGGTTAGTCGTCGCCACAGAGCGGCCCCCGTGTCCCCTGTCTTAATTGTTCCTCAAGGACTCCGCTCTGGGTGCGTACCATGCGCTGTGCCTCGCTCGAGCACAGCGGGGCCCCTCGATGTTTTGTAGCTTTTTTCTTTATTTTGAGAAGAAGCGTCAGTATTGCCCTTGCACCCCGACGAGGAGTTTTCCTTGAAGCGGTGTCCGGCTGATGGTCAACAGTTAGGGCGAAGGTTTTTGGGAGTTTTCGGGGGTCTATGCACGTGTCCTTTCTTAATTGGATATTGTATTGTATGTGTTTGTTTTGTACCGCGTGGCTCCCATTGGTCTAAAAAGAGTGATATCTGATTGGCTCCTCGGATGGAGGGAAAAGTCTTAGAAAAGTGAATGTAGGCGCCTAAAGGCGCGGGATTTGCGGTTCAAGGTTCGAGTACGGAAGTTGTCATCGGCAGTTTAAGAACCGCGCGAGATAGGGGCGCGAGTGTGCGACCTGCTGCCTCAGGACGAGAGCCAAGTGCAATATGTGAGTGTGTAAACCGTTTTACACCCTCCCTTTTGTTGCATTGTGTGAATTCCTTGACTTTCTTTTGTAAGGACTTCGGAAATCTTAGAAACCGACACCAATGAACAAATCACGTGAGATTTTTGTTGGTTAGATCAGGTTAAGATAGGGAGTACGTTATGGTGGAGCAGCTTTCCAGTGCTTATCGTCTATCCATCAAGATGTTCCCCGTTTCTACTTATGGATCATTGTTTTATCAGCCCCGATGACTGGAGGTTTTGTGCATTGGAGTCGTGCTTCATAAAACATTTGTTTTTTATGATTCTTGTTTTCTGCTTACTCTAGTGCCTTCTTTTGACGTGACTTGTAAATGAAAAAGTAAAATGCAAATGCCTTCCTGATGGGGAATTTCCGGGGCATCATTTTTATGTATCATAATCATCCCAAAACCAATATGACAACTTTATTTTAATTACTTAATAAAAGAATACACAGTTATTTAAAAAAAATGAATATGCTTTTATTTTCTCTTGGACCTCCTCTTCTTTTTATCTTGTCCCCCTTTACCCTCGTTCGTCTGGCCCCCCGCGAAATGAAATCCTGCGTACGCCACTGACTAGGGGTGTGCGAATACGAAATAGTTGTTTTCGAATCGAATACCGAATCGAATCAAGAAAAAAAAGCCGAATATCGAATCGAGTATCGAATAGTGATTTTATTTGTAGGAATTTTTCAAAGTGTGCTGCAAATGAGACTATTATATGTGCAGACTATGTGCCTGGTGTAGAATATGCATCTTGTACGGAACAAAAGCAAAAATGTAAAAACACTTCCGGTAAAAACAAAAGCAGTTGCTGTTGGACGTTGGCCACTAAAGATCCAATTTTATGGCGCAAACATAATCTATCTATCCTAAACGTCACAAAAAAAAAAAGTTACAGCCACGCGTGCCTTCTCGTTAAAAGCACAACCTAACACCGCGACCCTTTTAAAAAAAATATTTGTGTATCTCAGAAAAGGGACATTTTGCGATATTTGGTCTCCATTCTATGGAAGAAAAAGGACACCGGGGATTTTATTTTGCATGAATAAACAGATAGGTGTTAAATCTGAGTAAACAGGCTTAAACAATATAATCTGAAGCAAGGAAACAAAACTTGGTAACGTGGCGCAAGTCACCGTCCAACTGCCGCTATGCATCAATTTTTCCGTCTATCTATCCTGTTTTAGAGAGCCTTGATTTAAAAGAGGGAGCAAGCGAAACTGAAATTACGAAGACTGCTCCAGCGCAGGTTGGTCGTAAGTGTGCATGTGTTGTGTTGTCGCGTGGAAAGAAGGCGAGCAAACAAAAGAGCGACGACGCCTGCCCTGCCTGCCCGATCCCGATCAACGCTTCCGTCTTTTCGTCACCTTCTCGCAGTTCTTAATTCAAACGCGGCTATCAAACAGTTGGAAACCCTCTCAAATCCAGGCACACTATTTTTCCGTTGAGTTTTCTTCAGAACCAGAATTTGCGGCTTACAGCTCCAAAAGAACGACGACGATAACTCGGCTGGTTTCATCGGCGTGGTTAACGTAGTTTTCTTTGTGTGATCGTGCAGTCGCCGATTTCTGTGAATGCGGCAAGTGTGTTCTACATCGGCGCTCGTGAAAAACAATTAGGCATGGTGCGGCGTAACGGGATGTTTCGGTTGTGATTCAAGGGAAGATTGTGTCACGATCGTGAGTAAATCTGCGTGCTATAAAGTTTGTGGCTTTCGTTAATTTTTTTTTCTAACCTGCGCGTTAGATTTTTGTGGAATGGTAGGACCAAGAGGCGTTTTTCGCATGGTCTGTCTGATATCACAGCGCTTACATCGGGAGAAAGAACGACTTTTTTGTCAGCTCCGCGCCGACCGCGCGTCTGTGGCCAAATATATTCAATATTCGAGTGACCGAATACTAAGAATTCGATTCGCGAATCGAATTATTCGGGAACTTTCTATTCGATTTGAATTCGTATATTCGAGTATTTGCACACCCCTAGCTATAACACATGAAATGCAGTATTTAAGGGGTTGATTTTTTATTTTAAACTGAATGTGTGTATAGGCCACATGACGTCAGATCAAGCGACATCAATTTTTCTGCCAAATTTAGTCGGGAAGCTGAATTGGCACATAGGTCACGTGACATCCATTTTTCCGCTACATTTAGCAGGAACCTTACCTTGTAGGTCACATGACGTCAGATTACATGACAAATTTTTCTGCCAAATTTAGTGGGTAAATTGAGTCGGTGTGTAGGTCATGTGACATCAATTTACCCGCTAAATTTAGCGGGGAACCTGAATTTGTCTGTAGGTCACATGACGTCAGGGCACATGAAATCAATTGTCCCTCTAAATCTAGCAGGGGAACAGTTAGTGCATAGGTCAGATGACATGAATATTTCCGCTAAATTTAGAGGGGGAAATTGAATGGTTGCATTGGTCACATGACGTCTAATTTTCCGCTAAATTTATCGAAGAGCTTTAAATTGTCTGTAGGTCTCGTGACATAAATTTTTCTGCTAAATTTAGAGGGGAAACTGAACTTGTGTAGAGGTCACGTAGCAGCAATGTCCCCGCTAAATTTAGCGGCAAATGCACGGATGGATGGACAACATTTTAGGATTGGAGGGTAATGTTAAAAAGCACTTTATGTTCTTTAAAAAAAAGCTGCTCACCTGATGCGCATCTCTGGAAACAGGCTTTGACTAGCAATGAATTGTAGCCCCAGGGCTGAAGTGCTGTTTCAGTAATGCTTCCTGCACAAACAATTAAAAAAATGTAAAAACACAAGCCCCAAAAGTTTCCTGCCATTCTCCTTCCCCTGCTTTTCTGTGCATTTAATTTATTTCATCCCTTGGCAAATCCTAAAGATTTCGAAGTGCTTATCCTACGTCTTTCTGTTAGAGCCCGGTTTATGTTGCAGAAATTTGGCCGAATGGATAACCCGGAGCATTCATTGTTCGTCGAGACACTTTTCCTTTTACTCCATCCTGTTCTTGACAGCAGAAACTACTCTCCCTTGACCACAGTCATTAAAGGGATACTGAACCGAAATTGGGATTTCGCAAAATAAGGCTGTAGAAGCGTGAACGGGACGCTACGAACTGCAGAACATCACTCAAACATTGATATCTCAAACGGATGGCCGTACTTTTGGAAATGAAGGGCGCGATCAAGTGAGGTCTTTGACGTAATTGTCCTACGGGAAAATTTGAGAATGAGGGGAAGCGGCCTCGCTTCTCTGCTCCTTGCTTCGGTTCACCAACTCGACACGAGACGTAGCGAGGTGAAGAGGGAATAGGAATCGTGACGTGCCTTGTCTCGTCGGCCTTGTCAGCCGTGTTCAATCGCGAATTTCTTTGCTAAAAATACGGCAATCCGTTAGAGATATTTCTGTATGAGTGATGTTTTTGGGTTTTGCAGCGTCCCGCTTATCCGTCCAGCCTAGTTTTGTGAGCTCGAAATTCCGATTCAGTATCCCTTTAAGGAATTTTCAGATCATACACAGGTGGTTGGCATTGCCAATACAAGCTCATGTTTGAGCATGGAATGAGCAGACGTCTGCAATCTGCAATGTCTGATCTACAGGAAGTTTCTGTTTTACCAAGACTCGTACCATTCCATTGCCAAAGAAAGGAGCAGGCACTGTTAATAAAAACTTACTTTCATTACACTGTTTTAAAGAACAATTGCTCTTTCTTAGGATCAAAGGATCATATTAGGATAAATGACAAATAATGGTAGATTCACATGATGGATCGAATCGCAATTTTCATTCGTGGACCGTTTGTCACGTTACCATCATGTCAGCTATTCCTACGATTTGCACCTCGTCAGCGGACGCCCAGACTGTGAGGGCAGAGTGTTTTTTCACGCGCAGATTTCTGGCGGGTGAGTAACAGTAAAAGCGTTTATGTACAGTAGAGTACCAACAGCACAGCAATATTTTTGTTTTCGAATAAGCCAAACAAAGATAGTGCACCACTGTGTTTTGTCATTCGCTGTTTCATTTTGTCGAGCCATTCTTATTTTCCACTCGTGAAAGAAGCTGCAAAGAACTTTGCCCAGTTGATGCGCCGCAGGTTCTGGTACTCCTCCAGGTCGGTGTCAAGAAACTTCTGTGAAAACCTGCCTAGCACGCTGCAGTCTTTCCTGCAGGTCCACAAAGTTTTCCACCCAGCAAGACCTTTCTTACGGCTGTAGTGTGCTGAAGAGTGGTGCACAAGGAAGCAATGCGTAAAGGCATTTCCAATTGCCTCTCCGCGACCCCAAGACTTAATCGCTTTAATGCTGAAGCCTTCTGGAGCAGAACTGTACTTGTGTCATGTGGTTAGTAGAGCTAGTGGTGCTTCACGCTAAGCCTGTCACAATGCTTTGTCTCGCTCGGTATGTAAAAGCGGCACACAACGATTCTTTTTCATGATTGCACCGTGATCATAGTCGCAAACATCACTTCTGACCTTGGAAAACGGTGCCACAGTGCGTTGTTGGCCTTTTGTGGAATTGCAGGGCCGCGAAAAGGTTCAGTCTGTCCTCGCTGTCATCAGCTCGTCTCCTCCGTGTGGACGCACTTGGGGGACTGACGTTCCGTGGACGTCTTGCAAGTGATTAATCCATCTGCGGATAAGCTCGTTGTGTTAATCGGTCATAAGTCGACTGCAAAGTCTGCACTCGCTTAACGTTTCTGTTGACGTTGCCTGCACGTCATGAAAGTGTGTCTTGTATGCAGTTAGATATTCTCAAAGGAACGAGGAAAATGCATAATAATGTTGCACATTGTTCACCGTAACCACTCAACTTTTTTCTTTCCTCCAGCTTTTTATTTTTTTTAAATTTGTATTGCACGTACGGCCCAGGCCGCACATGTTTCCACAATCAGTCACCATCCTTAAAAACCTGCACAATAAAAAAATGCGTGCTGCCATCTCTAAGCAGCTACGAAAGCTACAACGAGAGGTATGCTCAGAACAAACCTGGGATGCCCAAAAAGAAACAAGGGGTAAGGTATGGTGCGCGGATGAGCTACACTCATCCTAAACGGTTTACGGACGGCTGTATAGACCGTTTTACTAAAAGAGGGCGAGAGAGAAAAGGGGAAAGCTGCCGGCGCTTTCCCCCTTTCTGGTTGTGTAGAAAGAGTGAAAGTCCCGGATGAGAGGCTTGGCCGGTGTTGGGTGTCTGCAGTGCCCCAACTTCGTTCGCACCTTCTTTTCTGTTTTAAACTCGCACACTTAATTACAGCTACGGGCTTCGATGGCAACAGTCCCCCAGTCATCGGGACACCATTGCTCGGTCATAGGGTGCTCGAATAAAAACAGAAAGCGTTGAATACTGTCGGAAGACCTATGTAGCTTGCAAGGAATCCGGCAAGGCGAGAGCGGCTGCAATGGTCTTTAAAGGCCCGTTCACACTCTTGCGACCGAGTAAGACCGAGAGAGACCAGACCGCTTTTTAAGCCTCTTGCAATCTCTTAGGACCACCTCCGCGCTGCAGCCCATCCGGTTATAAGAAGTCGCAAAAGGCTTAAAAACCAGTTTGGTATCTCTCGGTCGTACTTGGTCGCAAGAGTGTGAACGACGTTTAAGCTCCATGCTTTCCACATGACCCCGGTTTCAGGCGGCAGTGGATTGCGACCGTGAACCGAAAAGGCGTTTCCTCAACGCCAACCTCTCGACTGTGCTCGGAACATTTTTCGTGAATGGAGCGCGCACCGAACGCTGTATCGCTAATGAACATGGGGTACGCTCGCAAGGTGCGTGCGAGTTTTTTTGGTGATAACTGCTGTTTCAGCTAGTAAAATTTTGTAACTGAATATATCTTAATATTGATAATTTGCAGTGGTGACTGACTCGATTTTATCGTCTACATCACTTAGTTGAAGGTTCGTTTCCGCCGCCGGGTGAGGCTGGAAATTTTAGAAATGGTAGTTCTATCGGTTTTCCTGAATCGCGATCTCCTGCGTGATACCAGAGAGCCGCCAAAACCGCTCCTTGGAGTGGCGCTGGTGGATTGTTTCTATTGATTGGGCGCTTTGAAACGCTGGACGGTCGCTGCAGGGTATGGCAGTTTAGCTCTGAAATGAAAGGCACTTGGAAGTGAGTGGCACCGTCTCTCGAGCTTACACAATTAAGGCTGAACCGCATGTACACGATTTAGCAAGCGACAAAGATTTCTCACTGTAGCTCGGTTTTTCAATTTCTAGAAAACGTTGCTCATCGCCTTGGTCGCTTGTTCCCGTCGTTTTCGTGTGATTCGCCTCGTCGTGCGGCTGATCGAGCGATTGCGAAAAGGGTTGCCATCATTTGTCTCGTTGCTCGCTAAATTGCTTACATGCGGCTTATCAGGCACGTAGCCAGGGGGGGGGGGAGGCATGGAGCCCGCCCCCCCCCCCCCCCCAAAATCTTCCCTTATGCTGGGGCCTCCTCTCCCCCCTACCCCTCATACAGCATTTTGCAATGGGCGAGCCCCCCCCCCCCCCCCCCCTTTCCGAAACAAAATCCTGGCTACAAGCCTGCGGTTTATACTTTACGGTTTTCGGCACTTGCGAAAATGTGAAGCTTGAATTTTATCGAGGGCTTTGCCCTTGCCGACTCTCAGACTGGTGGGAAAACTTTGGGTTCCAGTGAAATACCACCACATGATTTCTCGCTTGCTTATGAAGTGAGGAGGTGGTGGTTTGAAAATCAGTTCACGGTCTTTAGAGGAAGTTGTTTAAAACACCTTTTTTCTGTTTCTGTTGTCACTACTCAATGCGCGTTTTTGTTTTTTCTTCCAACCTTCTCAATCAAGTACTGCCGGAGGGTTAGTAAATAGGCGCAACATATACAGGATTTTGTACAGAAAGTCAGTGCCCCAGTCGAAAGAGAACTCTTTATACTCTCCGCAAACAACATCATCAATACAGACCCTACTTCTAAAGGCGCACGTCACGCATTGTTTCGAGCAGTTTCCGAAAACAAAAAACGAACTAGAATCCAACCCTTCACAGTGGAAGCGAAAACGCGCGCCAGCACGCTAATGGGTACTTTTACCAGTCATGGGTCTGCAAAACACACCGCCTAGCTAGGCGATACCAAGACACCACGCGATTTGCAGCAGTCAAGCCTTGTTTACCGATCTACGAGATGAAGCTCCGATATAATCACCAAGTGCCTTGCTCGGTCGCCCCAGCTGCCTCCGGTGGAACCTTTGCCTCTGGGTACCTTCCCGCAATCTGACTGCTCGCTCAGTGACAGATCGGTTCCGGGACTTCCTTGGCAAAAGCTTGAGGGCCATCCAATGCGGAACGCACGTGTGCGACAAGGAACCGCTCACGGTCGCTTTCACGCCGCCTGCGCACACAAGAACACGACATAAACGCTCCGAACAGAAAGGACTGAAGAAGTAAAACGAATCGGCGAGCACTCACCAATTAGACTCAACTCCACAGCTGGTTCCACGGGCCCGCCGGCACCTAATACACTTCCTTTTTCTAAGAACGTTCTTCGATGTTCTTTTCCGAAAGATTGGAAGCGCCCAACATTACGCCCGAAAGTTTGAAACTCGCTTTGTTTTTGGATGGATGGATGGATGGATGCTACTGGCTATACCCTTTGTATCGGGCGGTAGCTTGCGCCACCTAGCCTACGTCTAATAAAGACAAACATTTGATTCCCCCGCCCTTCTAAGCCAATTTTCTCCCCCCCCCCCTAACTATCACCAGGTAGTGCGGGATATCA